ATACGTGAAACTTCAATCATTTGTGTTTGCCATTCATCATAATTCCATTTGCTTTCGTTTCCATAGTGTTAGGCATTTAATTGATTTAGAAAAATCGATTCTCACAACACTCATCGTTTGTTATTTGCTATTTTTGTCAAGTAGTAGTAGAAAAAAATATATTAAGTACTAAAAGTTTCGTACTCGTGGGAATGATATCCGGATTCAAAGGTCCACTTTACTACTTGTTACGATATCGTACACTTACAATAGAAAAAACGCAACAAGTTTTTGGCACCGTTGCCGGGGACTAATTTCTTTTAATCTTAATTTATTTTAGTCTTAATTGCTATTTGATTTTGTTTTAATTTCTTTTATTACAGAGAAAAGTGTTCATTACATGCTCTATGCCCAAAGCGACAAGCTTGAACCATTTGACTCGGAGATAGAACGTACTTTCAGACAGCGACGCAAAAAACACAAACAAAAACAGCAACATCAAGTGGCAGATGATCAACATGTTCCGATTCAAATTCAGCCAGTTAGACAAGCCACCGCGAGAACAGCTGCACCACCATATCAGCAACAAAAGCGAAGGGAAGTAAATGAAGGAGACCTACATGTTTCTATGTTTTTGACACCTATTGCTGAACCTGCGTGCTCCAGTATTGCGTACCCAGATTTTGGAGTCAATAATTTTCAGATATGGGCAGAATGGATAAATCTGATGAGCAATACACATAGGAAAATTTCTCCAAAATTACCAAAATTNNNNAAATTTCTCCAAAATTACCAAAATTTCCATGCTTCAGGGGTCAATGAAGATGCCATAAAACTATGGTTATTTCCTTACACACTTAAAGATGCCGCATTGGAATGGTTAGATGCGGAACCTCATGCAAGTATATCAACATGGAAAGATCTTACCAGAAAGTTCTGTAACAGATTCTTTCCGCCTGCTAAAGTAGCCAAATTGAGGCTGGAAATTCAAACTTTCCAACAACGTGATGGAGAAAGCTATCACGAGGCATAGAACAGATTCAAGGAGCTAATGCAAAAATACCCAACTCATGGAATTCCAATTGGAGATCAGGTGGGGTACTTCTACACAGGGCTCTCACCAATGTCGAAATCTCAGGTGGATTGCTCTGCGGGTGGATCGATCATAGGAAAATCAGTACAACAAACACTGGATCTATTTGAGCTAATTGCTACTACACACTAAATGTTTTTTTCAGAAAGAGTGGCACCACCTCGATCGCCTAGAGTGTATGAATTGGATCACACTACATCTACTAATGCCCAAATAGAAGAGTTGACAAAGCAGGTAGAATTGTTGGTGAAATCAAAAATACGAGGAGCACATGCCGTCATGAGTAGTCCAACATGCGAAAATCGTTGGGCTCATCATGCAGCAGAGAGCTATATGTCTATGGATTTTCCAGAGGAACATGTCAACTTCATTCAAAATGGATCCCGCAATTTTAACTCGTATTCGCAAACTTACAATCCATGATGGAGACAACACCCAAACTTCAAGTGGTCAGATAATCAGCAGGGGAATGTTGCAAATAATACCCAGCACGATAACGAACCAAGTTTAGGGGAGATGTTTCATCAATATGTGCAAAAAACAGACAAGTTATTCCAACAGATTGATACTAACTTCCAAAATCAGCAAGTATCCATCAAGAAATTGGAGATACAGATTGGTCAAATAACAACTTTCAAAACGTCTACATGGATCATTGCCAAGAAATACAATGACAAATCCTAGAGAGCAAGTGATGGCAATTAAGGTAATGGAAAACGATCTACCCAGGGCTCATGTAAAGGTTAAAGCAT